AGGCAGCCCCGGCCGCCCCCCCCCCCCCCCCCGGTTTCTGCTGTGCGCTCTGCAGCTCTGCGAGCTTCCCTCCGCTTCCTGGCCACACACGGCCTCATCCTGCACCCCAAGCAGCCTGGAAAGGATCCGGTGTTGGTGCCGGCCCCCAGCCTGCTGGGGAACAGAGCGGGAGCACTGGGACATGGGTTTCCGAAGGAACCTGAGCATCTGAAAACATTGCCGTACGGTCTGCGTCTAGCCACCGCAGCTTTCCAGTGGACGCGGCAGCCTCCCTGCCCCGGGCACCGACTTATGCCCCATTCCGAGCATGCGTTGGAAAGTTTGAGCAATTTGTGCTATGATTTTAATCAGAGCCCTCCGCTGCCGTGTGGGGCGGGGAAGATGAGCCATTCTTTCCTGCTGATCCCTGGCTTGGTGAGTCGCGATCTCAGCAGTGATACCCGTCACATCATCTGCCTCTAGAAACCAAAACATGTTGCAAGTACCAAACAAGCCTCCCCCCACCCAGCCTGGATGCCTGGTGTCACCATCTGGGGACACAAAGCCTCGAGGTGGAAAAGCCTCCTTGCTGTGAGCTTCCATATTTTCTGGAATTTGGTTTAGTTCAGTTTAGTTAGTTTTTTTTTTAATGAGAATGCAGGAAATTGCGAAGGAAGAGGCGATGTCCACCTCGGAGCCCACCAGCACCGTTGCACATGGTGGAGAGCGCTCCACTTGCCACCCTGCTAGGCCGTGGCCTCTGGCCAGGCGGCATGGAAAGTGACAAGGAGGGCACAGCCCCCCAGGCTTGCTCTGTGGCCCAAGCAGGGCCAGAAGTTCACGAGAAAGGAGTGATGCTGCAATGCCAGGAGGAGACTGGAAAAGACAGGACAGGCTGGATTGAGGCACTAACCCAGGGTGAGCCCTGCCTGCCCTGGCTCAGAACCCCCTCCTTGGCCACCCCGAATTAGGGGTGGCTCCCTCAGCCCCACTGCTGGGGCCGTGTCTGAAAGCGAGAGGTGAGCAAGCCCGAGCTCCACAGCTCATTTCTGAAAGCCCAGAAAATAATGAAATCATCATGAGAATTGCATCCTTCATCCTGATTATTAATTTTCCCCTGACGCTTTCCAAAATTGCGGGGCACTGAGGCTGTGTTCGAGAGAAGCGGAGGAGCTAGCCACGGTGTGTGTTCACCTGTGGTTATTTCCTATGCGAGTAGTAGTCATCGAGGCAATTGGGGAACATCGCTGGCAGAGAAATTAAAGAAGTCTGCTCCAAAGGTCACCCCAATAACAGCACCCTGCCCCCTGCTCTCTGCAAATCTGTCTGTGGAGAAACACACCTAAGGAGGCAAAACTTCTCCTTCTCCTCCTTCTCCTTCTCTTTCTCCTTCTCCTCCTTCTCCTTCTCCTTCTCCTCCTTCTCCATCTCCTCCTTTTTCTTCTTTTCCTTTTTTCTCCTCCTTCTCCTCCTTCTCTTTCTCCATATCCTTCTCCATCTCCTCCTTTTCCTTCTTTTTGCTTCTCCTTCTTCTTCTCCTTCTCCTTCTCCATTCTCCTTCCCCTTCTCCTCCTTCTCCATCTCTTCCTTCTCCTTGTCCTTCTCCATCCTCTCCCATCCCTTCCCAAAGGGAGCAGCTTGCCAACAGGCACTCAGGGTACTGCATGGCTGCTCAGACCCTGCCCAGCTGCCCGGTGCCACACTGCTCAGGAGCCTGAGACAGCTCTTTTACTCACGGGCCAGGCTTGGAGTCGAGGATGTGTCCCCGCCCGCTCCATCCCTGGGAGCTTTCCCCAAAAAGGGTGCAGGTTTAGCGGTGCCCGTCCCCGCTACTTGGCAGCTGGGTGCCAGCATGGGATTGTGCCAGGAGCGCGCGGGGAGGGGAAAGGGGCCAGGCCCAGCTCAGCTGATCCCTGCATCGGCGGGGAGGAAGCTGGGGGCGGGAGGCAGCCCGGGTTTCCCTCTGGGGCAGAGATGGGCACGTTTCATTTCCACCCCAGCCCCTGCCGCGCAAGCCAGAGAGCAAGCCGCCACTGCGGGGAAGGAAGCACAGAGAGAGCTGGGGGCGGCACGGCACGGCGCGGCGCGGCACGGCACAGCACGGCGTGGCCCACCTGCCCGGGCAGGGGACCGACTTCCTCGCCATGGCTCCAGGTGCCTCGAAGATGATGTGGGGCAGCATGGAGGTGGCCCTGACCAGCCTCTGCGCCATCCTGCTCTGCTGCGGCCCCATGCTGGTCAGCTGCCGCCGGGGTAGGTACCAGAGTGCGGCGCGCTTGCCAGCACAGCCCGTGTCATTCGCAGCCAGTGGAAAATGTCTAAGGGCTGGGAGCTTTGTAGTTAAAAATAGCTCTGGCATCAAGAAGGCAAAAACCCCAAAGCTTTTGGGTCCGTGCCGTTGAAGCAAGGGAAATGGGGATGCTCAGGGTAGAAATGCGGTTAAAGGATAGAGAAGGGGACAGGTCCCCAGCCTGCGGTGGCGGCACTGGAGCCACATTGTGGGCACACTGGCCGTGGTTGGGGTTTGGTGTTGAGCCTCTGGGTTTGCCAGCGCCATGCGAGGTCTGGGGTTCTCTGCTCTGGCTCTCACGGCTTCGGGCTGCAGCCTCGGGCTGCACCTCCTGGTTTGGGCTTGACCCTGAAGCAGCCAGCGTCCTGAATGCGATTTTGCTCAGGGTGAAATCTGGGGGAGAGGGAGAGGTGGAGGGGAAGGGGTGAGTCCAGGCAGAGTGAGGAAGAGCTGTGATGAAGCTGTGTCCCTGCTTCCTCACAGCCCAGCCCTTTCTTCGGTGGCTTCGGGTGTTTTCTGCCCCGAGGGTGGGCGCAGGGCTGGGCATCCCTTGGAGCAGATGTTACCTCTGGTGCTGGGAAGATGCAGGGAAACGTGTAAACCCAACCTCTGCTTTCAGAAGTCCTCTGAGCGCTTCATTCATTGCTGGCAGCAGCACTGGTTAGGAGGCAAAGCCCCGAGCCTGCCGAATATTTCCTGTTAAACACAAGAAACCCAGAACACTGTAAAAATTATATCTCTCGGTGCTGGCACTGCCACAGCCAGCGCTGCCCGCGGGAGCCAAGGCACTTCTCTCCCTCGCTCCCTCCTCCTGTTTGCTCATCCCTCATTTCTCAGCCCAGTTTTCCATCTAATCCTGTATCTAGTCAAGGAATTGTCCTGGTTCCTTTTCTGGTTGGTGATGCTGAGGTCATGGTCCTACGGCCTCAGGCCAGTGCTGGAGGGACGGGAGGGACTTTCTAACTCTGCCTGCAAGCCCTGCTATTGGTGGCAATTTGTGAAAAGGGAAGATAAATTTCTTAACGGCAGGGACTTTTCGAAGCATTGGCGGTTTGAATCGCTTGGTCAGATAACCTGTGTGAAAAATGCTTCTTCCTGCTTTTCATTGCTCTGAACAAAAGTTAATGCAGCAGCTGCCTCGTCCTGCTGGATGGGGCTGGCTGAGCTGGGACTTTGTGAGCCTGGCCCGTGTTCGTGGCATCCCCGCTGCCTGGGGGGAATGAACCCACTGGGATCACGGGCAGGGAAATGTGGCGAAGCAGCAGGGCTGGTGCTAACGGCCAGGGGGGACTGCGGCCATGGCCGACTGCCCTCTGTGCTGGGAGCAGCCTGGCAAGCCCAGCCAGGACCCCCAGGGTGGGTGCCTGTACACGCGAGGAGGGGACAGGCAGCTGGAAACGGGTGGCATTGTAAGCTCCAGGTCACTCTACCCTGTCAGATGGTCTCAGGCTGGAGATGGCAAATACCGTGCCTTGGGCAGCCCTGCCCGCTCTGTGCTCCCAGCATGGAGCAGTGGGCAGAGCCAGAGCACTTCGGCAGGCAGCTGGGCACGCGATGGGCTGCACCGTGGGGTGCTGCCCCGGCCCAGGACTCGGTCCCTCTGCTCACTTTCAGAGGCAACATCAGCTGGAGGAACGATGACTCGAACATTAAAATACAGCATAGATTTAAAAATAATACAATCCCCAAAGTCTGTTTTCCCCGGTACAGGTGTTCTGGGTTAATTTTAGGTAGCCCAGAGCACAATTTGCTCTGCTGAAACCACTTCACGGTACAGTTACTACCCCTGAGGATCTCCCTCTGGCTGGCAGGCACACACTCAGGAGGGGAGAGACATGGGCTGATGTACCTCCCCATGATATGGGGTGATGCTGCAGACTGGCCAAGTGTCAGGCTGCCTGCATTGCTGGCAAACCCCAGAGCCTGGCCACAGGTGAGCCGGTGCTGGCGATGGGATAGGGCTGGGCTCACAAGTGCTCACTGGCAGGTTTTTGTAAATCCCCGTAGGGGCCTTCAGGAGCTGAGGGTGAAAAAGCTGAGGAATGCATGGAGCCTCTGGGTTTGGGACGTAGGAGCCCATCACCTCTCCATGGGATGGGGCACTAGCGGGCGCGACGGCAGGCTCTCACCCTCTTTGCATCCCTGGTTCCTGCATGGGGGGTACAGCTGTTTCTGAGGCCTGTGCCTGCTGTAACCATGTCTGTTCCTTGTTTCCTCTCTCCCAAACAGTGACCACCTTCCCAGCCACGTTAACTCTCCCTGCAGGTGGCTCAGCCACCTTCTTCTGCAACATCTCCAGGGAGAACAACTCCGGTGCAGAGTACAGCCTCAATTGGTACAAGGAGACCAACCATAGCCAAGCCCAAAAAATCGCTGAGATGAGCCGGAACAACCCCCTGACGAAGACGGAGAAGTACCTGCTCACCAACCACACTCCTGCCTTCAAGATTGAGATTCTGAACCTTCACCAGAATGACTCAGGCTCCTACTACTGCGGGCTGATTGCCTTCTTTGAACCCGATAAAGTGATGGAGAGCAACCGGTCCCACCTGGTGGTCACAGGTCAGCCTGGGGGCTGAGCTGTTGGGGGACAGGTCATCGGTGTCATCCTGTGGTGCTATGGCTCCCAGGCACACTGCAGCCCCAGGGCACAAGGCAGGTGGTACCCTGCTGAGGGAGGACCTGGTGCGGGTCAGGAGAGCACAGCTCTGCCCTTTCCCCTCTCCTTGGCATGCCTGGTCGATGCCCAGGGACACAGGCTGTCCTCCCCCATCTACACTGCGGCTGGATCTGGCCCTGAGGCAGGAGGTCTCCATCCTGCTGGGGCTGCATCCCCAGCAATGCTGTGGGGAGGAGCGAGTCCTTACCCACGGATGGAGGCAGGACATCAGCGTAGGGAGCTGCTTTCACCCATGGATGGAGGCAGAAGACCAGCATAGGGAGCTGCCTGCACCCCTGAACAGCTCCTTTATTTGGGGACAGGGCTTGTGTTTGGGGTGACAACCAGGGCTCAGACCCCTTGAACAGCCGGTGTTGATGTAGATACTGTTCTTGCAAAACCATGCCCTGGGGGGCCTTGTAGCCCCATGGTGTGGGAGACTGAGGTCTCGCAGGAAGATATGCTATGCACTTGCTTGGCAGCATGGAGGCTTTGGGGGGCTGAAGGTGGCCTTTTATAAAAAGGAAAAACACTGCAAAAGTTACTGTCTTTCACAACATCTCCTCCCAACATGAGCTGAAGCTGTGCTGGCCCCAGGACACGGAAGCGGCTGGGAGGCTTGGGGAAGCTGTGTCCTCCATGGGGCTCTTCTGGGCATGGGGTCGTGCCACAGGACTGCAGTGTCCTGGCCCCCTGCACCCCAGCTCTCAGTGGTGTGGGATCATCCTCACCACCTGCAATGGGAGGGAATGGGACATGGCCAAAACATCCCCTGTGTCAGCCCAAATTCAGGGCCCCTGGAGGGATGGTGGGGCTGTGGCAGCCTGCCTGGGACTGAGCCCTTTCTGGGGACAGCCCCTGTGTTCCCCTGTTGACTTTCCCAGGGACTATAGAGGCCATTTTACACTCCTGACCTGCTGTTTTGTTCCCCCCTTTTTGGATGGCTATTACAGCAGCCCCTGAGAAGACAAACACCACCGATGAGCCTGAGATGGAGGAAGGCAATCCCCTGGACCATGTCAAGGCCATGCTCCCGGGCATCCTGCTGCTGGCTGGGGCAGTTGTGCTGCTGATCTTTGGCTACCTCACTGTCATGTACAGGAGAGGAGGTATGATCCCTCGTGGGGGATTTACTGCGCCAAGGGGCTGGGGTCTGCCAGGGGACCTGACGGGGTGATGCTTATCCAACAAACCCAGCTTGAACCCAGGGGCAGCTGGATGTCTGTAGCTCCTTGGGGTACACAGGCAGGTTCAATGTGCTAAACTCAGCTGTGGCATGTCCCCATGGGACAGGTATCTCCATGCCTAGGAGAGAAGGGTGCTTTGGGCCATGCTCGCCCTTTGTAGAGCCCCCAGGCCATGTGCTGTGGCTCTGAAGCACTTGTTAGCATGATGTCTTAGTGCTGCATGTGAGTCCCTCCCATGCACCTTGCCCGGGCACCTTTGGGGCATCTTGTCGTCTCCTTGCTGCAGCACCGGGCATCGCCTCGGCCATGCTGTGGGCAGCTGGGGGGGGCTCTCCTAGAGGGGACCCCCGAGGAATTGCACCCCACTAATACCAATTAAACCCTAGACTGTGGGCTGGTATCTCACTTGTCCTTGTAATGCTCAGGGTGTTAGACCTTAAGTGTAGAAGGAGGAAGTGGTGCAATGGTTGTGGTGTCCAGCGCCCTCCTAGGACGTGGGGGCTGTGTCAGCCCCAGCCCCAGATGCTCACGCTGTCTTGGCACACAAGCATCTTCTAAACAAACATGTTACTTTGCAGATGTGCAGAAACCACCAAGTGAAAACACGCCAGCGGTGAGTTTTCCATCTCTGATGCCCTGTTGTGCTGCAGGGGAGCATCGCAGCATCGCTGGGGTGCAGGGCCTCCCTTTATCAGCCCTTCACAGGCTTCTCGCTTCTCCTGCCTTCTCTGATGCTGCTTGATCTTTTCTGCACAGCTACAACTGCTTTTTTGCACCTGCAGCACAGTCCCATCACAATCAAAAAACTGCCTGAGATAGGATGAGACCTCTCTAGTCCAACCCTTGCTCAAAGCGGGGTTGTCTTTGACAGTGGATTGTGCGGCTGTAGAAAATGTTTCTTCCCCCCCCATATATTAAGCTAAAATTTCTCTTGCTAGTCCCTGTTTCCTCGCTTTCTTTTGCCGGGCACTGCCAGGAGGAGTCTGGCTCCATCTTCTCTCTAACCCCATTAGGTAGCTGAAGGCAGTGAGTAGGTCCCCCCTTGCTCTCCCCTCTCTGGGCTGAGCAAACTCAGCCCCGGGCTGTCCTCATGCACCCTGGTGCCAGCTCAGAGCCCAATGGAGAGGTGGGAAAAGGGCTCCTGGCATGACCCTGCCTTCAATGGCCAGGCAGGCGAGGAGCCCCACCTGCCTGCAGAGATTTGAGACCCACATGGCCTTGGCAGTGACCCCAAGGCTCACAGTCTGGTTTCTCTGGGCAAATGTTATCCCAGGGCTGTGCATCTTTCTGCTTTGTATCGCTCTCGCCCTCCTGGGATGCTTCAGAGCTGGTTTTGGCACTTGCTGTAAAAAGGGGGCTTGTGCTGGGGATGGCAGGTACCTCTGGATTATGAATCACCCCGATGGGGTTTCCTTGCAGAAGGAAGAAAAGCCCCCCGTGGTGTCCGTGCCCACCGTGGACTACGGTGTGCTTGAGTTTCAGTGGGAACAGTGCACCCAGGTGCCCCCCGACACCCAGCCGGTTGACCAGACCGAATACGCCACCATTGTCTTCCCAGAGGAGAAACCCGTTACACCGGAGCGGGGGAAGAAACACCAGGACGAGAGGACTCGGCAGCTGCAGTTGCAGCCCTGCTGAGGACCAGGGTCCCTCCTTGCCAGGGGTTGCGGGCAGGAACAGGCTGCCCCAGCCCCTCGATCCCACCACAGTTTGCAGATGGGAAAAATCCAACGAGCAAGGACTGGAGTGACAGAGGCACCGCTGCTGGAGTTGATATCGGACAGTCCTGGCCACGGTGGGATCATGGCCGCAGGGTGTGTACCACAGGATGAGGAAGGTCCCTGCAGGGCTCCATGTGCCGCCTCTTCGCTCAGGGCAGGGAGGATGGGCTGGGGCAGAGCAGCGATGCTCACGGTCTGTGCCAAAGGCGATTTACGTCATGCCTCAGTTTTCTACCTCCACCTGGGGCTCTCTGGAGTGGCCATGCTGCTTCCCTTGCTCAGGTCTGACCCAACCAGAAAAGCACAACTGTGGGAAGAAACGCCGGAGGCCAGAGCTGGAGTGGATCCTGGGAGATGCTGCTCACAGGAGCCTGGGGCTGAGGGCTTCTCCTTGCCCGGGGCAGAGACTGCCTTGTGTACCGCTATTTAAAGAAACCCCTGGGAAGCAGGTGGCTTAGTTTTTCCTTCTCTCTCTGGGCACTTTCCTCCTCTGCAAGAGGGGAAATCTACCCCCGCATCCCTCCCTCTGCAGGTGGGAGACAGATCTGGCCCTGGGGGGTGAATAAAGGGTTTCACGTCTGGGGAGTTTGTTGACTCGTGATGGCAAGCGCGTGGGCAGGCAAATAACGGCTCTTGGCAGCGCACAAGCGAGAGCCGGGAGGCGGCGGCGTCTGTTGTGGTTCCTGGGCCTCTCTGTACGATGCACAAGCCACTCTTCCATGAAGCTGCTCTTAATAATTTAGAGAAGCCACCGCTCTTTTTCCTCTCGCCCCTGTCTGGGCTGGCCCCTGGGTGCAGCTGCAAACCAAGCCTCCCCTTACCAGGCTGGTTACGGGGTGCTCGCCCAGCTGGGGATGAGCATCCCTGCTGTGCTGGGGGCCTGGCTGCCATCAGCCAGGGCAAAGCTCACGGCATGGTGCTTGATGCAGCTTTCTGGCTCCAAACGTCCATCTTCCCTCCTGAAAGCGATGCCAGGGCCGTGCCGCCTGCCAGAAACCAGAACGGAAAGAAGCAACAACTGCTCAAGAGGGCAGAAACCCCAATAAGGACTGGCTTTGGAGGCACCAGAGACCTGCCAGGAGACCATGAAACCCAGCAGAAACAGAGAAGAGTCATTTGCATCTCACACTTCAGTGGCATCATCATCAGGTTTCTTTTTCCTCTACCCCCAGTAAAACCAGCGCAGCCTTGCGGGAGCCAGCCCGGGTGCTGGGGGAAGGGGTGAGGCATGCCAGGCATGGCAGTTTGTCCCCTGTGGGGGTTGGAAAGTCTATGAGAAACCTCCAGAGGGGACCAGATGGGATGAACATCCATCTGGGATGGCTTTCACCCTTCCTCAGGGCAGGATGGTGGATGTGGTGGCCCTGCTTGCTCTCATGACATTCTTTCACGCCAGTGTGCAGCTCAGCCTGGTGGGACTGTTTGCAAGCAGCAGCCCTGCTCCTTGCCCCGGCACAGCACCATGCAACCCCAGCAGCTCCAGCAGAGACCTGCTGTGGCCGGCCAGGCTTGGCTCACCCGGAAAGCCGAAGCAGGAGGCAACCGCAGTAGCTGAGAAGCAGGAGCTCAGTCAGCAGTTTTGGTTTTGGCTTTCCCATCAGACGCGACACTGGCGGGAGGGTGGGCCGTGCTTCATATTTTCCGTCCTGCCTCTCGGGCAGTGAAGGTGCCGGGTCTTCAGCCTTTCCTGCAACCCCTGCTGCAGCCATGGCTCCTCCAGGAGTGGCTGGGGCTGCATCCCTTCCCCTCTTGGTGGATGGTGGTCTGCAGCTGCCCGGAGGCTCCCAAGCCAGCCAGTGGGGTCAGAGGTGTAGCAAAAGCATCTCCCGCTGCCATTTGGGATGGGAGAACACCCAGCCCGTGGCAGTGCCTGTGCCCCTCCGGCCCCCCAGCAGCCTGGCTGCAATCCTGCCCCTTGCAGGGAGCAAGGCTGGGGCCTGGGGATGTGTGGGGTGAGTGGTGGGGATGCTCCAGGCTGCCAGGCACCATCTCCTATCCCTGTTTGGAGGACAGAGAGCCCAGCACTGACAGAGACCCTGAGCACTGGCTGTGCTGGCCAGAGCAGGAACAGGGCTGGGATGAGCTCCGGGTGGGATGCAGGTTTCAAGCCCCCAGCTGAGTATCCTCGAACCAAGCAGTGCCCTGAGATGGGTGGGTGGGATGCAGGTTTCAAGCTGAGTACTGAGTATCCTCGAACCAAGCAGTGCCCTGAGATGGGTGCCCCCCCCCCACCCCCCCCCCCCCCCCACAGCATCCTGCTTGGGGATGGAGAGCTGAGCACGTTCGTGTGCAGGAGCTGCTCTTGTCTTTCCGTGCAAGCCAGGACAGCAGCCACCCATGGTTTTGACTCTCCCTCCAGCATGGTGATAGTAGTTCAGTCTTCCTGGAGTCACTGTGCGGGATCTGGAGGAAGCTGTTTTACCTCCCGTCCTGAGAAGTCCCCAGTTCTGGCTTTCCCAGCTCCACCATTGCACATCCCTCCTTTCCCTACCCTTCACCCTGTATCACAGCCCTCCTGCTTTTGCCCACCACTGCACCCATACCATCTGGCTGCCTGCTATTTGCACCAACTGACAGGTTTATGCCCCTTTTCTCCGCTCCAGATTAAGCAGGGACCCAAGCAAACTCATTTCCACCTATGATGCTAAGGTTTGCCTCAGGTTTTCTTGGGGGGGCTGAGCCGACACCCTCAAGTCTTTATCACCTCAATATCTTTATCACCCTCAATATCTTTATCGATGATCTGGATGAGGGGATCAAGTGCACCCTCAGTAAGTTTGCAGACGACACCAAGTTGGGTGGGAGCGTTGATCTGCTCGAGGGTAGGAAGGCTCTGCAGAGGGACCTGGACAGGCTGGATCGATGGGCCGAGGCCAATTGTATGAGGTTCAACAAGGCCAAGTGCCAGGTCCTGCATTTCGGTCACAACAAGCCCATGCAGCGCTACAGGCTTGGGGAAGAGTGGCTGGAAAGCTGCCTGGCGGAAAAGGACCTGGGGGTGTTGGTCGACAGCCGGCTGAACATG